GCCTTAATTTCAGGAGCTTTGAAAAAGTTCACTTGTTACACTGTTGATCCTTCAGTTTCAGAGATAAAGTGAGAGAATTGTTGAATACATCTCTGCTATATTAAGCTGGACATCTCAAAAACCCTTCTTAGCTCGCTGTTTACATACTGTATTTGGGCATCATTCACACAGCTCCTCCAATTTAGCAATATACAGTATACTGAGCTTTATTAACTAACTAAAAACTGAATACTAATTGAACAGAGTAGGAAACACTATTACTATAAACACTATAACTATACACTATAACTAATACACTGTACTGTATATCTTCAGGCTGAGGTTCAACCAAATACTGAAGAATGAATTTCAGTCCATAGGCACATGGTAATTCATTTATTATATTAATGAATTAGAAGGAGGATGAAAGTCATTCCTCAGAGATTTCTAAGGACAATCTTGGTAGGTGGTAACTAGATTCAGAAGATATGATATGCCTTATAATTGACGATACAGCACAGGATCTACTTATGCAAAATCCATTTCCAGAAATTAACTGCTAATGTTTTATTATAGAATGTAGGATCCAGTTTGACCTTTTTTAAGAAACAGTTGATTAGACCATGATAAGCAGTTTTTCTCTTTCACTGAACAACAGGAACTGGGCGTGTCAGACTGGTGAATGGGATGGACGCCTGCTCTGGGAGAGTGGAGGTCCTGCACAGCTACCGGTGGGGCACAGTGTGTGATGATGGCTGGATTACAGCTGACGCTCAGGTGGTCTGCAGGGAAGTGGGCTGTGGGGCTCCTCTCTTTACACCAGGCTCTGCATATTTCGGACCAGGCACTGGTCCAATTTGGATGGATGATACAACATGTACTGGAGATGAGCCATCTCTCATTACATGTCAGTCTAAGGGATTTGGAGTCCACAATTGCAACCATAGCGAAGATGCAGGTGTCATCTGCTCAGGTACAAATCCCATTCCTTAGAAATTGTTTCATCACCAAAAACTGACCTATGGTAGCTTGAGGTATTGTCTCAGTATCTGAAGATATACTATCTAGTATCAGAGATTGTGAAATTCTCAGGTTATCTTAGAAGGAGATAAACAACTAATTGACTTAAGTCTCAGAATTATAAAGAGGAAAACAGGAAAAGCTATTACTGACCAAAGACAAGCATTAAAATCTAGTGAAAGTACCTAAAAGTACCTAAAACTGGTCTGTTTACCACTCGTGTGCCCTACACAATAAAAGTCACAATAAAAACAACACAATAAAAGTCACATTTTGTCTTTAACTTTACCAAAAACATTTTACTTTCACATTAACACAACACTTACAATATACAAGATGCAGGGTTCTGATGACACTAAAAAAAACAAACAGGGTTAAAACTGTGTAAAAGGATTATATAGGCATAAGGACAAGGCAATGGACATGGACATGGACATGCTACTGAAAAATTGTTTCCTGTTATAGAGATCTGAAATAGATGGCTACATGATACAAATATATAATAACTCTATGTGAGACATGAATTAAAAAATAAAAGTGCCTTGTTTATAGGGTTACCGGTTAGCTAGAAGAATATATTGTTTGGCATACAAATTGAATCCAGTAGATTAGACATTGCTACACTGCTACTGTGAGTCAGATTTTCCATTCCTAATGTATTTCTATACACATGATATGAATCTTTTACATTGTTCTAAACCTTTTATATTCTTTTTCCAGTTCAGTCCCGCAACATTGAGGTAGGTACCGATGGACATACTGCATATACATCCTCTGGGCCTCATGAACATGGACACATCACCTTCCTGAAGGTTTGGAGCAACAGCACTTGCATAACTGGGTAAGTCAGGGTAAAGTGAGTGGTGTCACTCCCTTGGATTCTCAGGATTGTTT